TCTTGAGTTGTTTCGATAATTTGCTTACTTTCCATGGAAAAAAGTAAATACCAATTTATTGCATAAATTTGTGCCAAAAAATTCCTCCAAAAACTGAGGTGAAAATAAATGCGTGATCAATGTCCATAGACAAAGAATAAGTATGAAGATTAATTTCTTCAAATATTTCTTGATACATGTTTGACACACTCTACACTCTGTATATTGAGAACTATGTATTATTGGTCCAGGAAGGCGTAGTTTTCGATAATACAAATGAGTGCGTCAAACATGTATTATAAAATATTTGAAGGAAATGAATCTCCATTCTTATTCTACGTCTATGGAAATGAATCACACATTCAATTTCACCCCTGTTTTTGAAGCAATATTTTCCACAAATTTATACAATGAATTGGTATTAATTTTTTTCCACGGAAACGCAGCAAAATAGCAAAACAATTCAAGAGACCAAAATGTTGTATTTTCAGTTGATCATTACGATATGAAAATATAGAATTCAAAAATATCAGTGGTGCACATTTTATTGACAATAATATTCGGTAGGGTGCCCCCGGCACGCCACTGGATTCCACAATTACAACTTAATTATGACTGAATCAGCTCCTTATGACAAAGAATATCATTGCCAAATTTTAAGAGAATGGGTAGAAAGATAAAAAACCGATTTTTTCTAAAAAGTTGAACACACTGTATCTTGAAAACTTTGCATTTCCGGGACCAAGACTATATGATATAAATTTCATGTTTTCTCATGCAGAATCACCCCCTCGATTTATTGCGCATAATTTCCCGACACCCTGTATTTTTAATATAGTGTAAGGGGTCGAATGAGGCTTCAGAAAATGAAAACTGCGTTTTTGTAGAAATTATTTCCACTCCAATTCCTCCAACTGCTCTACTACTTCGGGGGTGGATATATTTCTATACAGAGGACCGCTTTTTTTTCAAAAATTGTATCTGATGGAAAATCCTAATGATTTGTTTTGATTTGTCCTATTCACATCTGTGAGATTCCCCATAATTTCTAACAGTCGAATTCGGGCATCTACAGCATCCACAGCATCTGCCATGAATGCGCAAAAAGACAAATGAAAAATCATCGGCCGTAAAAAAGTGACAAAAAACACATTAGTCCCGACAACACACCTATCCAACCCCTTCTCTATACACCGATTCCACCAGACTATCAATTATATTCGCCCTTTTGTAACACATTTAGATGTAAAAATAGCGGCCTTTGTAAGCCAGATTTACGGCACCAAAATTGTGTGACCGGCCCCATTGACATTTTAATTCATCTAGGGAGGCTGTGAATGAAAACAGTAGGCCAATAAATCATCGGGAACTATGAATTTTAAGAAAATTTGTTTCCGTACAACCCGGGATGTTGTTTCTTTCTTTGTTCGGATGTGAAAGATTGGATCCTGCAGAGTCATTGACTACCTGACTTGATTGTTTCTTTCACTAAATGAAACTTTCGATGTTCTGATGGTTACCAATGTTACCACTCGGTTGAACTAATAATCATAATATATCCCGAAATAGAAGTTTCGAAAAAGGCTATCATTGCAAATTATATAGGAACCTGCTGTTCATATTATGAGTGAATAATATCTGGAGAATCTGAAGTATCAGTTTTGTTATTGCTTCCTCATTTTCTTCTCAAAAATGATCTCAACTTAACCTTGGAATTCTCTTCGAAGAATTATTCTATGGATTTCCATATTAAAATATTCGCGGGAATCAATGTTACCAGGTGGCGCTCGGTTTTCATCATCCCATGTCAAAGCCACGTCGAAACTGGGGAAAAACAAACTCAATCCTCACTCAATCCCATTAGTTTCTAGATATTAATTGTCAATATTCGATCGAAAACGCTAATAATACCTGTTGTAGATGTTCTTTTGGCAGATATTTTGCTCTATTTAGATGGAAAAAGCCGACCAGTAGTGGAAGGAGAAGCAGTTCTCCGTGCTAATCATGTGATTTTGTGTGAGGCAGAAGACTTCAACAAAAGGCACATTTTTGCACTTTGTCTACAAACTTCGGAGATGAAATCTTCCCCACATGAAGTAAAATTGAAGTTGGGGTCCAGAGGAACTCCTGTAGAACAATGGATTTGTATTTGTTCCTGTAAACATGTTGTAGCTGTTCTTTTATATGTCAATTGATTTGCTCGTCATAATTAGTTTGAATTGTTTGAACTATCTCCAATTCTTCACCCGTTCACTGTTCACTAAACTAATGAAAATGTAATAATGTAAGAAAATTGACCAACTCAACCATCATCACTACTAACAGTGCCAACACTTTATGTCATTGACAAGTTTGACTACAGCTACAGCAAGCTGAATGCAATGTAGTCTATGCACTTTATCCATAGACAACAGTTTGTTTTCCCCCAGTTTGAATTTCGTACTATGTAACCTATATAGATGTCGCCCATTTCGTGAATCTCGCGAATATTTGTTTCAACAAGAATATTTAAAAATAATAGTCGTTTTGCGACAGTGACAGTAAACATCTTAGTGACAGTATAGGTCATATCTATGACAACGACTAAACTCGGAATGCAACATTACAGATAAGAATATCTCAAATATATTTTTTCTACAAACGTCAAAAAATGACAAGATTCGCGCATTGATAACAAATTGCGAAGTGACACTTTTTTTCAGTTTCCTACGTTACCATTATTCCTTGCACAAAACAATGCGCGAAGTAAAACAGTGCGCGAAGTACCTACTTCGCGCATTGTTATAAAAAATATATGAGATATTTATATTTCAACTTTATGGTCCCCAATCGAGCAGACATCCACAAAATCATTTATTTCTGAATGTTCAACAATAACTTTGTTTTTTCTCTTGGAGCGCACGAAAGGAAATTCCTATTATGTTCGTGGAACATCGAGCGTACCTAGGGAGGATAGGGGGAGACCTTTTAAGCCAGTTCAACACTATTTTTTATATCAAGCTGAGCATATTTTCACTTAAGAACTATATTTTTTGACGTTTGTAGAAAAAATGTTGTTTGCAACTCGAGCGCGAAATACTTTGGTCATCTCGACTATTTTTTTAACTCGGCTACGTCTCGTTAAAAAAATCAGATCTCGATCACCAAAGTAGCATTTCGCGCTCTAGATACAAAAATAACTATATTTCATAATAATTATTAGACACCGACATATTGATTCAGCAATAGTAAAGATTGTAATACAGTTATAAAAATAAGTCTATTCTAAGAGATCTGTAGAAGCAAAACAAAACGAGTGCATTCGGATGATTTGGCCTAAACATAACCAAAACTAGTACCTAAATTGTAATTTATAAATTCAATCCAATAACTCTGATACAACTTGGGTATTTTCTTGATAGAAGAGTATATACGCTTTTCTACTGATGATCAAATCTGATGACATTTTTGAAACACACGACTATCGTTGAATTCGTGCCAGATAATCGAGTACGGATGTTTGCAATAGGCTGTATACCGGGTGGCTACGGAAGTATTGCCTACGGAATATCTCAGTTATTGTATGAAGTAGGTTTGTGAAATTTGGACCGTCGATATAATGACATAATAGCTACAATTTGAGCATATTGACATGTCAAAGTTAACTTCCGATCTGACCGGAAGTAACATCAACTTTCTTATTTTAAATGGAAACCCTATTTTTTTTTTCTTTTCGCTTTATTCAGCATTCAATTCCCTTTCTAATGACATATCACAAGTTGGTATCTAACGAGAAACTAGATCAGAAAAAAAATATTATTGAAATTCACCGAGTAGGCCCTGGAAGCAAAATGAAAGCCAAAAATTGAAAAGTTGGCTATGGAAACCATACATCACTTGATAACAGTTGCTACTACTGTGATATTTAATTTTCATTCGTCGGCGTCATAAAAAGCCGCAAAAAAAATATTGGAAAAATTGGGAAAAAAACAATACTCTGTAGGTCCATAACTTAAATAGGAACATACAACTTTTTCTTGCCTGTACTATTCAGCATAACCATTCCTTTCTAATGATATAATAGAAAGTCATTTTTTGAAATGAAATACTCAAGTTATGGACCTACAGAGTATATTGTTTTTTTCCCAATTTTTCCAATATTTTTTTTGGCGGCTTTTCATAACGCCGACGAATGAAAATAAAATATCACAGTAGTAGCAACTGTTATCAAGTGACGTATAGTTTCCATAGCCAACTTTTCAATTTTTGGCTTTCATTTTGCTTCCACGGCATACTCGGTGAATTTCAATAATAATTTTTATCTGATCTAGTTTCTGGTTAGATACCAACTTGTGATATGTCATTAGAAAGGGAATTGAATGCTGAATAAAGCGAAAAGAAAAAAAAAGGGTTTCCATTTAAAATAAGAAAGTTGATGTTACTTCCGGTCAGACCGGAAGTTAACTTCGACATGTCAATATGCTCAAATTCTAGCTCTTATGTCATTATATCGACTCTCCAAATTTCACAAACCTACTTCATACAATAACTGAGATATTCCGTAGGCAATACTTCCGTAGCCACCCGGTATAGTGACCACTGTTGATGGTACCGCTGTGGTTCGAAATAGCATAGAGATCGTACTGGAATGGTACACTTCCATCGGCAGCGTAATGACTCATATCGAGTCTGTCTATAAAGGTACATCAACAAAGACGTTCAGTATTTCTACGAACCGATCCAGCGAGAAACGTTTCAGATGGATGACAAGAATTTCAGGGAACCTCTAGTGAAGAGAGAATGACTTCGGTACATTTTCGCCTTCCCTTGCATTTGGAGCTAGTAGGCTTGTCTTCGCCATCCAATGACTCCTATCTGGTGAATGAGTCCAAGCATTGAAACAAACTGATTTTGCGCTTTTGCTATGGTATTATGGCAATGACAAATCCCAAAAGGGATCAAACGTCACTGAGGAATAGCCGCAATACGTGCATTTCAATGAAGACTTGAGCAGACCAACGAAATTATTCACTATCTTCGAATTATCCACTTTCAAGAATCTCGACCAAGATTCCGAAGCCTTTTCGTTGACATCCAGATCGATCATCGATGTCGGTAAACTTAGGATCCGGCTTCTCGATGACCTCATTGATATCCTCGTGCAAACCCAAGAGCAGGAACCGCAGGAACTCTTGAGAGTCTTGCTGTGCATTGCCGATGAAGCACGGTGCAAATTTTTGAATTGTGCCCTTCAAAGAGATCATATTCACACCTTGGCCAGTCGAATCCTCCGACCACAGTTCTTTTATGACTTCTGCGAAAGCCTTCATCAAAGATCCCTTCGTGCTGGATATTATATAACAGTTTTTTTTATGGGAATTGACATTTTTGGACCATATACAGTGTCATCCATGAAATCCGTGACATATGGGGAGAAAGTTTGTTGTTATAGACTACTACAAATTTGCTGCCTGGTAGAACAAATAACTATTCTTGGGGACCTATGATGCCTGTCCGAAAATCCAAAGATTGAGTTTGATACAGGAAAAAAGTGTGTATATAATAATATAGCTAGGAGGAGGGTAGTCGTGACTGACTAGTTAAGGTTAAATATACAATAACTTTAGAAACAGTTCCAAAGGAAATCTTTCTAGGTGAGGTTGCAGTCAAAATTTTGGCCTTAATGAGAGGACTCTTCGTTACTCAGCCGAGCTTTCGGAAATGTTTATTTCCTTTATCAAGACATCTATAAAAAATTGGTAAGTGAAAAAAAATTGTCAATAATACATTCAAGAAAAAGTACTTACTAACGTGAGATTGGTGTAAAACACAATGAAATACATAACAGTTGCATCTTCAGCACTTCAGCTGAATTTGACGATTACAAACATTTTTAATTTTATAATTTTTGAATAAAAACAATAGGATATCAATCCACAGGTTTCATTCCTTTGCCGTAACGGACCTTCCAACCGTCCATTTTGTTTTCAAAGGTCCGTTACGGAAAAGAAATGAAACCTGTGGATTGATATCCTATTGTTTTTATCCAAAAATTATAAAATTAAAAATGTTTGTAATCGTCAAATTCAGCTGAAGATGCAACTGTTATGTATTTTATTGTGTTTTACACCAATCTCACGTTAGTAAGTACTTTTTTTAAATGTATTATTGACAAAGTTTTTTCACTTACCCATTTTTTATAGATGTCTTGATAAAGGAAATAAACATTTCCGAAAGCTCGGCTAAGTAACAAAGAGTCCTCTCATTAAGGCCAAAATTTTGACTGCAACCTCACCTAGAAAGATTTCCTTTGGAACTGTTTCTAAAGTTATTGTATATTGCATAATGATATATATAGATGAGGATTCTCGATCAATTATTCAAGAAAATTGAAATAGTTTTTTCGGGTCTCACAAAATTGTAATGTGTTGTCTTAGGATCCAAAAAATACTCAAAATCGCCTAACACAAAGAAAATGGAGAGCCATAACAACGACTTCATTCGTAGATAAAATATGTGTCGAGTTATCTGTGCCCAACTAAAAACCTTCCGTATATTTTAACGAACTATCCAATTTTGTAATTGGAGAATATATGGCGACAAAAAATGCATCTCGCGATTAACGCAAAAAATCAATTTACCGCTATGGCACTTTCTTTGACAACATAAATAAATCAATTCTTTACCATCGTCACGAAAAGCTCTAGTATATGTCTCAAGCAAGGAAACAGGAGAATTATCAGATTCAAGAATCCAATTATAAAGTTATTCTTGTGATAAATCAACGTTGTGGATTCCGACACAATAAATAATAACTTCATCTTTCATCAACAAACATCAGCCAATCAGCTGGATGAGAGAGCTTACGTTTACTACCTATTCGTAATTGGATGAATTGTGGGCAACAAAATTTCTTCAAGATTGTTTATAAATTTTGTGTAAATGGAGTATACTGTATATCTATATTTTATCAACTTTCGAAATAACTATACAGCTTTTCGCTTTTCGATACTGTTTAGTGATGTTTTCATGATTTTTTTACTCGTTTTTTCGACTCATACGTTATAGCATTGCTGAGATAGGGATCGATTGGAATAGGGGTGCACTCTCGGGTGCACTGTACACAGTAGGTGCACTACTCTTACATAATCTTAGTCCCTGGGGAAAATTATATCCGTCAATACAATTAGGATTCATGATGCATCAATAAATATTTTGACAAACATATTTTTGAATTTCAATGTATAATATGATCAGTGAGCATGTAATGTAGAGGTTGGAACAAATTATTCATTAAAAGCTTGATATTGGGAAAAAACCCAGACATGTCGATTGTGGTTTTCGCATTTGTTGATCTACGATCTACTATGTACTCATATTTTTGATAACGTCATCATTATAATCACACCATCTCGAATGAAATATCTTCGAATCCTCGGGAATACGGTTGTAACATGTACACGGAGAGAAATATGTAGAACATATTTCATGGTATAGAAATTCTACCACCCTCTGGGATAAAATATGTCAATCTAGACAATTTTTGTCTGTCTCCTAACTTTTTATTCAACATATGATTTTCTCATTATTAGAATAAGCATATGCTTATTTCATATGTATAAACAAATTCGAGATATCTTATATGTTGAATATTGCCATAAAGTATGTTTGTCAAAATGAAAATAAAAATTTTCCATTTTGTACCATATAATGCTTTCTTCATGTTTATCCACCTCTTATCGAATATAATTTGCTCATAGAAAAGCATAATATGTATGTTAGATATAAGATATAAGCAGAAATTATACATAAGGATACTGGAGATGACTGAACACAATGTTAAAGCATTATAATATAATGTTATTATCACACATTTATGTGTGAAAATAAATTATTAATATTATTATTTTTATTATTATTATACCATGTCTTCAAACTAAGAATACAAATATTCCCATTGAGTGAATATTCATCTCATAATCATAAATATAACATTATTCCAATTTTGAAAAGAATGTGTCGCTCTATAGACATATAAAGTCATTAGAAATGAATGTACAGTATTTCATGAGAAAGTATATTGTATAGTATTTTTTACAAAAATGTATGTTTGGTATGGACAATGAACGTGTGCTTTGAATTACTATAAAATATTCTCAGATGTATTACAATAATTTATGTTGGTACCTATAATAAATCTCTCATATAATTGTATCATAATACTTACCATTTTTTATTGCTGTCACATATAGTACCAGAAATTTTGGTAAACTGTACAATAATTCTGGTAATACCTGCTATCTATTTTTCTCCGTGTGACATGAAAGAAAAAAATGACATCCATTCCAAGAAGAATGGGTTCTTTTTGAAGGTATCAAAATAGGGAATTGCAATTAAAAAATGATAATGACGTCATTACTCGAAAAGTGAGGGTGAGTGAAAGTGAGGTTTTTTCTAACAGTATATACAGGGTGTCCCATTAGTAATGGATCAAAAAAATTGGGGTGGTAGGGGGGGGGGTCATTTTCGATCAAACTAACCGTATATGTGGTCATCAAATTGTTGATGGTTCAGAAGATATTGAGGTTTTTTCATTTCTACAAAAACAATTGACATCATCAAAAATATAAGTAGACCAAGAATGCGCAACTGGAAAATGACATCTGAGCTTTTCCCCCACTATATCAAACCATGTCAAGCTTTCAACGAATTTGTTCCAACTAGATTTGAATCAATGTTTGGCTCATGTCATAATTCCAAAAATAGTACATTGTTTTATTAGAATCAAATGTGACACTTTGTTTGACAAGCAATATTTGCGTTTGCGAGGCGAAGCGTTCGCGAAGCAGTGCTCGCAAATTTTGCGAGTCAAACAGAGTCACTTTTGATCCGAATGAAACATTAAATTTTTTCTGCAATCGAAAGAATTGATATTTAATTAACAAAATATCAGCGAAGTTATCACTATTTTGAGTCACTTGAGCATGTCAGTGTCAAAGCAGCTATCATACAGCTGTCATTCGACACGTTTTTAGTTCCTAGGAGTTAAACTTCAACTTTAGCTCACGGACGCCAAAAGTGTTGCCTAGCAGCATACATACTAATCGTTTTATTGTTACAGTCAACTTCAAGAGCTGAATTTGGAACAAAAATGGACGAATTTTGAGCCGATTGCAGAAAAAATGTATTTACCCTTCTACAAATATAGTAAAAAACAAAAACACCGCATGGTCTCACAGTCTTTGAGACAACCGCAATGATCGAGCTCCCTGCAACCTTGCCAGATGTTTGACAAAGATGACGAAATAGGTTTCCAGCCATGCTCTGGACGTCTCCAACCCCACTCGTCTGGCTCTGGATGTTCCTCTAGTACCTTAGACCTTCCCCAAATCTGTCCTGCTTGAAATGCAGCTATCAAAGTGTGCGCTGCTCAAGAGATGCAGTTGTCGGAGGTAATAATAAAAGGGAGCGATTTTCAGTACCAAAGAAATATTTTCGATCACTGTTTACTCGTTCACAATCGGAATCTATAATGCCATACAAATACAGTGTATACTTCTCCAGAATCTCAAATACGAGCTGAGTCGGGGATAGACCTGGAGCACCAATATATTTGAATGCTTCAATAATGCCATCTCCATCCTTTGAGGTGAAAAATGACACAGTGTCGCAGCCTGTGTAAGCATGAATACCGTGACCGTGTATCTTATACAGTCTGTCCAAGATAAGGTTGAACAGCATGGGGATGTCGAAAACGGTAGGAGATACGAAGTCGGTTAAATGGGGAAAAAGTTGCGCATTCGGAGGCTCATATCAAGAGCCTTCGAAAATTTTTAAAATTATTTTTAGTTTTTTAGTTATATCGAAAAAAGTGACGTTTAACGTGGTTATACCGATTTTTCAATGCGACGTTTCGTATTCGTAGAACCATCATCAACTTTTTTTTTTCAAATACGGCCCTGATAATTCTTTCACAGATTCTGAAAGGTTTTTTTATTCTGAAATCAACCATGTAATATAAAAGGTGATTCGAATGTGTTTCGACCTATTTCTATCCATCATCAATGCTTTTTCGAACTTCCAAAGGAAAAGTGCCATCAGTTCCATTTATTTCTGATCATTCAGTGTCAAACATTGATGGATCAGTTATTCAATACTGAAAAGTGAATAAAAAATATTTCACTACATCATTCAATGCAGCGCTTAAAATTGTTGATGAATTCTTACACGAATTACTTTAACAACTTAACTTTGACAATAATACCTTCAGAAAGTCAGAAACATTCATAACAAATGTTCAAAATGATAATCATTATTTTCTGAACAAAGA